TCGAGGTGGACATAGCCTCAACGAAGGTCCTTCTACAGGTATGTTTTTTCAATCTTGAACCCTTTAGTTCCCCATCAGACCGCAGTCGAGCTTTGCGAACTGTTTGAATCGCTGCCAGTAGTGCGGTTTTCTTTGTACATATTTGATGACAACTGACTGTGGAAAAAGTAGGCGGAGTTCACGTTGTGGCAAAGGGACCGCTTACAACGGGTGTGGTCCGGCGGTAAATATCCGCTCGGATCTCTTCCAAGCCAGCCACAAGATCTAAGCTGAACTTCGTGCACTGTGGCTAGAGCCTGCGTAAGCCGAGCCTTCTTCCCTACATAGACTGGAAATCGGGCCTCTTTCCTCCAAAGACCTTGAAAGGGTACCAGATTAGTCTTGGATGGTAAGGATACTGAGTTGTACATGGCCTGGCCCCTGCAATCACTGTATAGGCCGCATCGCATTCAACTAGTCACCAAGATTCTGTATGTGGGTAGAATGCGTGTCGCATCCCAAAAAGGGATTGTTCACCGGCGGAAGCCTACTCTTTTATCCTTTCATAATGAACAAATTACCGGGTCAGGGGGAACTGTGCCTGGTATACATCTGCGACCACAGCACGACGGCTAGGGGGGAGGTAGTAGGATAGTCTTCGCCGTTGATCAGTCCCTTTCGAGAAAACAGCACGCATTCCACTTCATTTGAGACCGTAGTGAGTACTTGAATGCGTAATACGGGATGTGACAAGAGAATCGTAATTCACTGCGCTGGCGGGCGTCGCGTGCGACGTCGCGCCCGCAATTGGCGATGGTTCCTTACTCATGACTGTTATCGATTCTGAATTGCCTACATTAACGCCGGTGCTCCAATCGACAGGTTAACACGAGTTAAGAAAACGCCGCGCCCATAACTGCGCGCGGCGGAGCGGCAAATTACGATTCTCTTGCCCGTCTCCCGCGTATTACAGCGACTTGCGTGTTGGGAGGGGAAGGCAGCCGACGTGCAAGTCAGTATTTTTATCCTCTCAGACAGAGCTAATAGCAATCTATCGTTCCCGGAGGGTAGAGGTCTTGGTTGAGTTGGGCTGAAGCCGAGATTTGAACCTCGGACTGCGCGCGTGCTATGCGTATCAGTTTCCAGTACACACGCACGCCCGAATGAACAGGTCACCGCAGGACAATAAGGGCACGGTGTTTGTTATTCATCTTGTGACCACAACACGATGGCAAGAAGTATTAGAGAAGAAGGGATGCGTGCTCTTCCGGTAATTTTCCCCCCATGATGATAACAACTTGATTTACTGAATGACTTTTAGAATGCAATATATCGGGTTTTATTTATGTGTTTACATCATTTCAGATAGCAAATACGGTACCAACGCTAATGGTGGCTCCGTTGATCGGCACATGGTCTGACAAAAGAGGTATGATTATTATAGTAATCTTCACGTTCACGGGGGTTCGTCGTCAAACCCTCTGGGATGCGCCACGTCCTCGACTTCCACTTGGCAACTTAGGCACATTCACAATATGTGCTGTTCATTAGGTCTCGCTCTACTCTATGGTATTCGCTTTGACGTTTCAAATGATCACGTGGGCGGAATTGGCAATCGCTTCAATGTTGGGTCCAAACTAATCGGCGAGTTTGGTCATGTGTTTTGCTTCCTTTACAAGCTGAACTCGTCGTTTTCCTATCACTAATAAGGGAGGCAGAGATGCTTTTGTTTCCACCCATATAATCAATGCGGACTGCACCTTCGAATTCTATCCCTTATAACAGCTGCGACACCATAAATAAGGTCATCGTATGCATTTCGTCATGGGAAGTAGTGAAAAACAAGCGCCATTGTCAAGTAAGATCTAGGGCACCCCCGCCAGCCCATAGGGTCGTCAAATGTCCACGGAAGACTTGTACATGGCGCATTCCACTGTGCTAGAAAGCATCAGTTCTGAGCTAGTGTTCCTTCAGGACGTAAAACTCCTCTTCTCTACACAATATTCGGTTTTTCACTGTACACAATATGTCAGCTAATGGCTACTTTGACATACCGGTACATGAATATTTATTACTGGTATTTCGCTGGTGAAATATTAATGGGTGAGTTGAATAATTACTTCAGATTTTATTAGATTCAGAACTTCACATGTTGTCAGGCTTATGCGGAGGCTTTGGCTCCTTTTTCGGTACTTCTCTTGCTATTGTCACGGATGATTGTCGGCATAAATTAAGACCGGTGAGTGGATTCATAGCAGTACTGTCGGGGAGTGGAGGTGGTGCGGAGGATTCTGGCGCCATTTCCCGGGAGGAGGGAAAAACTCACCCGTGCGCGTATGCGGCGCGGTTTCTTCACGGCGCCGCGGCGGCAGGGCGGGCGAAGGGTGATCGCTTGCGCCTCCGCCACTGTGCTTCAATCAGAAGCCCCTTTTATGCCCCATTATGTGGAAGGAGGAGGAGAGAAAAGAGGATTGAACAAATAGTGAACGCTCATAGGTGAGTTAGTGGTAATGGTGAGCAGAGAATACAGAAAAGTCGAGAATCAGAGCGTATTATTCCAGTCAATAGCGGAATTGGCAGAATGATCCCTAATGGGACGTGACATTATAGCGTTATAAGGTCACAATCAAAACTTTTGCCGAACCTCAGCTCGAACTTTCGTGTAAAAGCTGCTTGCGTCGTTTTCACAATCGAAGGAAACTATGCCGCCAGTTCTGCCATTAACTTAAGCAATTCGCGATAGTCGACTTCTCTGTGATCTCCTACCACTATCACTAACTCACTATGCACCCACTATCTGTTCAATTCCCATCCTCTCTCTACTTTCCCCTCCTCTTCCTTCCACATAAAAGAGGCTGCTGGATTGGAGCTCAGCGCCGGAGACTCGGGCCATCGCCTTTCGCTCCGCCCTGCCGCCGCGGCGTCCTGAAGAAACCGCGCCGCATTACGCGCGACGGTGTTGAGGTGCTAAACGGAGCCATTCCCACTACTTAGCAGAAGGGGCGGTTCTCGCCCATGCCATCCCACGTTACGGTTCTATATTTATTGTTGGACTGAGCGCCACAGACCATAGTTATTGTATGGGCGGAGACAGTAAACTATTTGCGGACTCCATTTCTTGGAGGCTATTCATACTGAAGGCGGGCAAGAGCAGGAACACCGGAAAACACCATTGTAGACCATTTTCGCCCTTGCTTGAATCATGGACCGTGTGGGTTTTTCTCAGGTTCATAAAAGAAGTTGCTCATCTCGGGCCAGCCAAATTTGTAGCCGAACTATTGAGGGAAAATCCCTTAAAACTTGTTAAGTCAAATGCATGGC